CCAAAAGGAATGGAATCGGGTCTCCAGAGTGCCATCCTCAGGTTTGGACTCCTGGCACCCGTGGGTCAGCATGTGCACGATCTCCTGCGTCCAGGTTGTGCCTGAGGGAAAGGTCGCAGGAATTAGACCAGTCACTCATAAAATTCACCCTTATCAACCCTCCCCTTTGGACTAATTTATCGTTGAGTTATAATTATCAAATACTTACAATTTCCTGTTTTTCTCTCGTGGTGGCAGCAGCGTGAGAGAGTTTCCGCGGCCAGAAGGGACTCAGCTGCGCAATGTCTTTCTCTTCCGCTGATGTAGTGCAGTGGCAGTGATTCGTGCTACTGTGGGTGTGAGAAAAGAGAAAAGAAAAATATTAGCATTAATTTGTGATGTTTTTTGGACATAACGGGTGAGATGTGATGGTAAAATGTAGATAGATAAGGTGGGACATCACGAGCATTAAAAACGTAAACATTTGTTAATGATGTTTTTTTGGACATAACGGGTGAATGTGAATAAAATGTTGTAGATAGATAAGGTAGGACAGCACGAATATTTATTTACAATAGCTACAGGAGAAGAAATGTTGTGAATATACTAATAAATTTTCTTCAAAGGCAATATTTGGTGCTTACCACTACTACCCAAATTATTTTTCCCTATGAGAATCCAGCAAACGTTTATCCATAATTATTACAATTATATTCTGGCAACATATCGGATTAGGGAATTGACTTTGTACAATATTATGAGGATTTGACGAAATCAAGATTGGGTTGCAATGTCTCTGAAAACAAAAAAACAAAAAACAAACTGGCAACTCATCCCGAGAAAAGATAAATTACTGCTAAATACAGCAAATTTCAAATAAAAAGAGCAATAAATTATTGTATGCAAGTTTGGAAAATACAAAATATATTCAAACAAAGATAATAAGTGCCAGCTGATTAGAATAACTAAAACGCGACTTGGCGAACAGGGGTACGCCAAAATCCACAGTGAGTTGCCAAATACCCTTTTCCTGAAATCGAACGCACAATGGTAGGTACAAAGGACGGTACAGTTCACAACAAAGGTACCGTAGGATACCAACACGTAGTCTTACCATCAAGAACCTCTCGCACGATCGGACGAGGTCTGACATTGAAGCCAATAGATGGCGTTCTCGGCATAACAATAATAACGGTTGCGTAATTTAAAAACGAGAACGCTTATTTTCCGATTCTTCAGACAAGACTTCAACCTAAGATAAATATCATCAAAAGTCAATTCAATATATATAGAAAATTATGAAATTCAAGAAGAAAACCCTCAAGAAAAAAAAAATAAAGTGAACTAAAAGATCTTGACGTTCATGCGATATAAAGAAAAATAACTTAATTGTTGACTTCCTGTTTACTGTTTCTGGTAATACCGGTTTGTTCTAGAAATAAAAGGCAATTGAAAGAAAATAATGAAACATATTAAGCAAATGACAATAACTGAAATAGCGCCTACCTGAAACTAAAAAGAGGTTTTCACATGTATATTATGTTCATCAATTTATTCGGATTTTATTGTTAATGTTAAAATGACTATTAATGTTAAAATTACTTCTTTACCGTAACTATTTGTGTGCTATTTTCTTTAACAAATAGTCATTCGAATGAGTTAAACATCTAATATTACACAAATTTAACCTGACAATAAAAAAAAGAAAGAAAGAAAAAAAAATCGTGTTTTCTTTCTTTCTTTAATCCATAATCAAGGCGACAAAAATAATAACAATAATAATAACAACAACCATATTAGAAAAAAAAACTTAAATTTGAGGTTAGTGATAACTTTTGTCTTATTTCAGGCCGGACATCCGCAGAGGAAACATATATTAGAGAAGTGACGAACACAGACAAGAGGCGCCAGTTCTCGTGAGAATACTTAAGGAAAATAAATGTTTTTCGTGTTCAAGATGTCGACATGAAGAAATTCCAAGATGACGTTGTAGATTTCCTTATTGCTCATTTGTATATCGTTTATTTTATATCGTTTCACTGTTGAGTGAATTGGCAAACAAAAAAAAAAAAAGTTTAAGGCCAATAATAATTTTTTTACGAAGGAATTTAGTTTTAGGGATGTTCTGTGTCTAAAAAAACAAATTTTGACTACGAAGAGAGAGAGAGAGAGAGAGAGAGAGAGGAGAGAGAGAGAGAGGAGAGAGAGAGAGTTAGAGAGGAGAGAGAGAGGAGAGAGGAGAGAGAGAGAGAGAGAGAGAGAGAGAGAGAGAGAGAGAGGAGAGAGAGAGAGAGAGAGAGGAAGAGAGAGAGAGAGAGAGAGAGAGAGAGAGAGAGAGAGAGAGAGAGAGAGAGGAGAAGAGAGAGAGAGAGAGAGAGAGAGAGAGAGAGAGAGAGAGAGAGAGAGAGAGAGAGAGAGAGAGAGAGAGAAGAGAGAGGAGAGAGAAAGAGAGAAGAGAGAGAAGAGAGAAGGAAAGAGAGAAGAGAGAGAGAGAGAGAAAGAGAAAGAAATTGATAGAGAG